TTACTGTAGCTCTAGCATTCAGTCCCAAGCTGTCGTCACTCTAAAACTTTGATTGGCACTGTTATACTGTACCTAACCTTGTAGTTGCCTCAGGTTTTGTTAAAATTTCAGCATGCTCACATTGAAATGGTTCTTTGTTTCATGCATTTCAGTGTCTCAGCTCATTAGCTGCTTCTCCATATCTTTATCAAGGGAAGCACTTTTATTCACTTTTCTCTCCACAGTAGGGGGCTTGGTTCCTCTAACTTAGAGTGCTCTTGGCTTGGAGAACTGCCTGTAATGTAAAGTTTTACCACATTATTCAATACCTTTTTAACTGAGAAAGATGTAGAGTTTTAGACCTTAGAAGTCTAGTTTATCATAGTCTCAGTTGGAATCAGAAGCAATCAGATTGCATAAATTTACTCCTAATTGCAATTTTTTGTGAAGTAGAATCTTTTGATCTTGCTATCCTAACTTCTATATTTGCATTAGAGCAGTATGTGTAATAAATCACTGATTAACATTTGAAAAACAACAGTCTCTAAAATATATATATAAATATGTCATATTTACATGTATATTTGCCTTTGAACATCAGCACAATACTGTAATTCTTATGCTTCTTTAGATTATGGACACGCATCAGTCCAGTTTGAAACCCATTAACATTTTATTTAATATACAAACATCTTGAGGATTTTCATATGTTAATAAGCTTAGCTGCTATCGATCGCTATTTTATCTAAAGTATACTGGGTTAATAAATTAGATGAAAATACTTGGACTGTATGAGTTTGGAAAAGAAATGTTTGTGAGCAGTAATAGAAAATTAGTGCATAATTTATTGCAATGCAGACTGTGAATTACTACACATTGCCAGTTAAGAACTTGAAGTAGGGGATGATAATTCAATTAGCAAAATACTTCATTTTCACTACAGCAGGAGACTAATTAAGAGTTGGCCTTTTGTTCCACTGAAAAAAGATACAAATCAATTTGCCCGAACCCTTCACCTTAAGGTAAGTGAGCAGCATGGAAGTGCAATGCAAGGATTAGATCCGTGATAAATAGTGCTGCTGTGCAGTGCCATTTTGCAGCAGTGAGTAATTATTTTAAAATTCATACTATAACAAGTAGAGTGATCATTCGTGAACTGTTACAGGCTGGAGAGACAGTTAGGTTGGAGTACACAAAAGCATCTCTGACCCCAGTTAATATTTTTACAAAGCGCCATGCATGGGAGTTGATTTTATTAAGTTAGAACTTTTATCTTTTATAGAACTTTTATAGAACTTAGAACTTCTCACAGCAGGGGGTTTGTGGCCAGTTCTCATGCAGCACTGTGAAAGATCATAAAGCAGTGCTTATCTTTCCTTCCAGTCAGCTGGCTACTGGGCAGTTAATTGTTATTCCATAGATTTGCTATGCAGTATGTTACTTGCTGATTGCAAGCCAAAACGTTGTTTAGATTTTCCTTAAAATGATTTGTCATTGCTATGGCGATCAATAGTCTGGTCTGGTTGAGTTAGTACCCCCAGTCACTCATCAAACAGGAGCTAGTAACTAATATTAACCTTTTCCTAAGAAGGTATATGTACTTCCATTGAAAATCAAGCAATTTAAATCTATTGCAAATGCATAAGAATACAAATGGCTTTATTAGAAAGCAAGAGAACTAGTTTATGCTTCGGGCAACCAATTCATCACACAAGATCTTTCCCCCTGTTCACATCAATGAGAAGCTTCATATTATATTACAAGACCTCTGTCACAAACCTGAGTGTTATCTGTAATTTCTAATCAGATTTTCTGCCCAGCCCTAATTGCAGGCAGTAAACAGGCACACAACGCTTCCTTAACCCACAAAAAGCACTACATATTATAAAATTAGGTATATTGAACTTACAACAGCCAATTAAATTGATCACTATAAATCCAACGATAATGATGAATAAATAAAAAGGTCCAGTTTCTTCTATTAAATAAAATGAAAAAAGTTCTGTAGGTGACTGCATACAGTAGCTTTTTTGCTGTGGTGCATTACAGGCTATGAAGACTAAGAATAATTCATATCAGATAGCCTAGCTCTTTGTCTTAACTGGAGCATATAGATATCAAGACTTACACTATATCCACTTAACAGTGTAATTCTCCTGTGAGTCATTTTGAACTGAATATAATGTTTTGAATATTATGTGTATACTAACATTTTGAACATAATGACATATTTCAAGTTGCAATCTCAAGGGGCCGTTAACTTTGTCGGATTTGTTTATTTGCTGCTGCAGGCTGGTGCAAGAATCTCACTGTGAACATTTCAGAAAGTTTCCAGTTTTATATTTTTAATTAGATCATTTTATTTTATATTGGATTGGAACTACAGATGGTGCACTTCCTGTAAAGTGCACAAACCAAAAACATCCCTACTGATATAACTACATGCAGAAGCTACTACTGGAATAGTAGCTTCTCATAGTGGGAGAAAACAACTTTTTAACTGTGAGGAAAGCTCTCAATCTTGCTACAGTACCTAACCTTAATCAAGGACTGGAAACTCAACACATTTTAATAGCTCTTAGAAACATTCAGTTTTTACCATGTAGACACAGAAGGGCACAGTAATTTGATTCTCAAGGAATTATAGTTTTAGCAGTCACTCACTATTAAAAGGCCTTTTATTTATCTTATTATAAGTATCTGGAAATATAAGAAAAGTTACAGATAAGATAAGACCACTCACCGCCTCACCAGGGTACAGTACAGTAGCTTGTTCCCAACCCTCACAACCTTGTCCTACAGTAAGTTTTGAATATAACTTTCTGTATCCCTAATCTATTCTTCTTTCATGGTTAATCTTAGCAAATAGATGAATAAATTCTTCTGTCCACTTTATTGCTCTGTAAGTAGAACTGTTACATTTCTGAATAGAAAACTGGCCAGTTACTGATTTTTATTGATTTACCTCTATTATCAGATTAATTTAATAAAAATATCAAATATGAAATAGTACTTATTATTAGGTTAATTCATAGGTTTATTCCATGCCAAAAAGAGAAGAAAGAAAACACAACGTTTTCACACTTGAAGAAGGCTCCATGGCCGAAACGTTGTGTTTTCTTTCTTCTCTTTCAGTATGGAATAAACCTATTACTTGCTCCTTTGCAGCCTACAGATGCTGACGCAGCTACAATACAAAGTAACATTATTGTTTGCATACTGTACACTTACAGAATAATTAAAATGTTGTAATTAAATACATCCTTCAGTTCAATAGCTTTTCCTTTAGCCTTGGATTTTTCAGTTTCTCACAGATACTGGCAATTGGAAAAATTACAAGAATAAATACAAAGAATAATACAAAGATTACAATAATAAGATTACAAAGAATAAATATTACCAAATGTTTGATACATCAGTCTTCAGAATTATTTCAGTTAAATAACAAATAAATGTATTTGGAAAAAAAAATAAACTGCACAACTCAAACATGGTAATGCCAAACTTCAGTCTTCTTTAACAGGCATCGGGAATGTGAAATGGAGAAGTGTCCCCATGAAGAAGTGTTTGTGTGTAACTCAGCCTTCAATGACTAGAAAGCCAAAGGTGGCCCATCGATTGTGCAGACCTTTACGAATCAGCTAGGGACACCTTCCAGAGAGGCTGATGTGTTGTCAGCCAACACTGGACACAATGGGAAGCTCACAGTGAAATCCAATTAAGCTTCAAGTTGCAGTCAATATCCAGTTAGCCATAAGGTGACAAATGGGCCACATAGTGCTCATTAGATTGGGACCACAGCAATTCTATACCTTCTTCTCTGTGACACAGAAAAGGTACAAAATAGGACAGGGAGGTCAGGAAAAGAAACCCAAATTAACCAGTGCTGTGAAAATATGTCTATAAAAACTACCTTTGGGACTTGAACAATGTACCAAAGGACAGGTGGTGGTCATTAGCACAGGTTTTCCTCTGTGCTTAATAAGCAGGAAAAGCTGTGGACTTTACAGGAATGAAAACACATATTTTCTCATAACAGGTTTGAAATCCTACAGATATGTCACCTAGTAGTTATGATTATGTATCTGTGACTTACTGTGCATGAATCTGAATTCATGTGGTACAGTATAAGGGGATTATAACTGATCTTTTATTTTTATGGATCATAAAAATATAGCTCCTTTGCCAGGCTGCTGGATTAACATCAAGTGTTAAGTGTACTATAAATATATTAGAGATTTTGTACTGGGAGGTCAAAATTTAAAATCTGTAAATCTCTAAGGTACCTGTGTAACATACAAAGAAATAATCTAAACTGCTGCTTTCTTGTAAACTGGCAAGTGGACACGTACAGTATTTTATTCTAATCCATTGAGAAACATTTGTTAGTTGCATCTAGATTTGACCATAAAAAGCTTTATTTTTCTTTTCGCATTTTAGTTCATTGATTCATGCATTTATTTGTGTCTGACCCCCCAAAAAACCCATAACAAGTTAAGGCGTAATTTCTCCTCCAATGTGTCCTTGCATAATTTAAAGATTGCCATACTTCTAAATGCTTTCTCAAATTAATTTTTAACTAACTGCTGGCAGGTAGTAATTAATTTACAGCTGTCACTGACACATCAAAGGGTTGTATTTAATACGCATTAAAAAGTAAATTTTTCCCTCATCCTATTGCAAACAGCATCACTCACTCTGACTTATAAATCAAAGGTGAAAATACATGGATACATGCTATGTAGGAGATAGATTAGTCATGCTACATTTTTTGCATACCACATTGATCTTTGGGGTATTTCATAGTTTGTGTGTTTATTCTAATATAATTATCTAATACAATTATTTTTATGTAAATGTGTGTTATTAAAATGGTTACTTGAGTGTGTTCACTTGTAAAGGCATTTTTTTTATCTCACATATTTAGAAAAAAATAGCTATAAAACATGATTTAAAGATCCAGTAACATTTTCTGACAAGATATGAGAGGTTTAATTTAATCTGAGAGTGATATACTGTAAGGTACACGAAATTCAGAGAATTAGTGCGTCTCAACATCCATGCTATTTAAAAAACACTTTACTATGCAGTGGAAACATACAATACAACACATTACTGTGTTAATATACAGTAATTACTGAAATATTTGTGAAAAACCTAGACATTGTTAGACTAAGACATTGTTAGATTAAGATGATTACTCTTCTAATAAGTATGGTTATGTATAAATGATGTACTGTAAGGTTCATTGGGAAACAAAAGACATTACTCTAGAGAAGATGGAATAGTACTGACAGGAGCAATCAGGGCTTAAAAGAATGAAGGACTTGCTGCTTGTGTCAAGACATCAGAATGTTTATACTTTACCAGCCTCACTGGTCTTCTTCACTGCTTCTCCTTCATAGGAAATACAGTAAGCAATGACCTTCTCCCCTGATCTAACCAGTATACTTTTTATGTCCTTGCATTAATAATATTTTTACTCTATTTTTACTCTATCTCTATTTTTTCTCCTAAACCAATATCAATATACTGTAAAACATTTGTTCTTTGAATTCAAGTTTACCTCTTCCTTCTCCAGAGAGCTTTCTAAAATGCTTTCACTGGGGTTAAGAGAAATCCGGGGCAGCTGCCGTAAGAAGGTCTCTGTATTGATTCTCTATCCATCTTCATCCTTTGGAATTGTACTCTCCCAAGGGTGAAGCTAGGGCTGTGGGGTCATTGACATTCATCATCTATTGTGCAGACCACTCTCCTGTTCAGTCTTTGGTATTGCGATGAATATGCATCTTCTGTTGTGGAATAAAACAATTGAAAGTGAGTGTCATGTATACTGGAGTTTACAACTTCAACAACAAAGTGCAACCCCAACGTAGTCCCAATAACATGAGCAGTCATTTTGCACCAGCAGTCTTAAGACATGGCAGATCAGGTGGAAAAGTGGGAAACTTCTTTATCAAATTAATTCAGGATGAGCTTTAGGGGGATCAGATGGTAACAGCTTGGGGTAAAATTAAGCCTGTGATCTTGCAGAAAAGACATTTCATTGCCAGCAACTACTGCTGCACGCTGTATTGTTGTGCATTTGAAAAATAAACTTTGATTTGATTTGAGCCTGGTGATCATTAATTACCATGTTGTTAGAGCTTCAGTTTAATATCTCACCTAATGGAAATCTTATAGTACAATTTGTGCAGTCAGCACTAGGCCATTGGTTTGTACATTCCACAGGGAGGATCGCTTCCAATACTGGTCCACCAGTAGTGCTACAGCTGCAACATGGTTTTCCTTGGTAGTCTCCCATCTTAGTACTTAACATGCTCTAAATTTGATTAGGCTCTGAGTTCTGACAAGATCAGGCTTAAAGGTCGTAGGTGAGAGAAGCACAGTAACATTATTCAGTTTCTAGCTCTACCACATGAATGCATTTCAGTTCTAAATATTTTATTTCGAATTTTCTACTGTGCTACACGTTACAAATATCCTCTATGCCATGTTATTACCTTTACCAAGATTATTTTCTGCTTTGATTTTGCAAACAGGAAGGTATTTTACTAAAATTTAACATACAACCTTAAAATAATCTATCAAGGTTGGGGTTTTTTTCTGGAGAATGATAAAACGATATTGGTATTCAATATGTTTTTTTTAAATAAAATTTATTTATGCACAGCAGGTAAAGCTCCAAAATGATTATGGAAACCCAGGTAGGTCTTGTGTCATTCTGTTTTTGTAATGCTCCATCCAATGAAAATTTTAGTCAACCAGATTTGAATAGTAGCTTCTCATAGTGGGAGAAAAAGTCTTTAAAAACATAACAAGCTAAAGAAAAGGCTCAAACAGATGTTCACTTTTTCCTTGCAGGATGTCAGTTAGTGACTGTGCTGTAAAGAACGCTTCAGTGGGCCTGCATAACAGTAGCCGGAAAACTATCATTAAAGCTTTCTTTGTAAGTGTCAATGGCCTGGATGGGGCCTTCAGTTTCTTAATACCCATGAAGTTACGAGTACGACAAAAAATTCCACTGCTGTTTCCAAGATGCTTTGCCAAGAACTGATACCAGAGACAAATTCGCATTCCCAGATTTATTACTGCATGAAAATTCAAAAATAGATAAAGAAATGTATATAAAGCAGACAAAGGTGGCAATGTTTCATGTGAGAAATGATGTTGGACAAGTAAGCAAATAAGAAAAGCTGACTGATTGCATTATTTTTGTTTTGTTTGCATTTTTCAAACATCTTCTGAATATTAAGATATTGAGTATAGACATATAATTCTTTTTATTACTAGTAGGAGTAGTACCACTACTATTGTCAAATGAAGTACTCAATCTGCAGATCGAAACTTATACTCTTCATATTTTAATAGAGTTTTGCTGGCAATTACATCCCCAAAAATACTAACACAAAATATACAGTATGTAAGTGTATCCAGATTCTATTTTAAATGTAAAAGAAATGGCCTATTATAAAAAATGGCATATGTAGATTTAATTTAATACTTTCTTATTTTAAAATATTTTGGTTTGATTTACGCCTGCAAAAGGATAAGTTAAGTGCTAATTTGGATTAGTATTTGACATTCACACAATCAACAGCAGAGCAAATGAAAAAATAAAATGTGACATTACCACCACAGCGCCATACCCTTCTGATGTTACACATAGAAACACAAAAGAATGAGATATTTATATGAGAAAGAAAGAAGAGAGTTCTGAGTATTTTTATCTGTATCCTTTTTTGTATAGGCTTGTCATTGTTCATAAGCATTTTTTCATTTAATGTCAGATACATGCTGCATATATTTGTTTGTTTTTCATTACAGCATAAAAGATAGTTCTACTCAGTTTTTTATCTTTACAAAAGGAAATGAAAATAAGATTCTTGCAATACTGCACTGCAAATAATAAATCAGTTCTCTATCCCCAGAGATAATGTCTCAGTAAGAATATAAGAATCTGAATTACAAGAGTATTGTATCTCAACAAAATGCTGCATGGTTCTTAATAAACAGCTTCCAAATGGGAGAATATGAATAAAAATTATTTTATGTCCCTCTCAAATTTCAAAATAAGACATGGAAACCTGCATTCCTTTTGCCTATTAAAGATGTACTACAATAGTTTGTCTTATTACTTAAATTAAAATCACATACAGATAAATTATAATATTAACGTTTTCATACATATTGATATGAAGGTAAGGCCACACTTCAATCCACTGAGAAACTCTTGCAATGTGGTCTAGAACTATTTAGCTGAATATTTATTAATTATTCATTATAATGATGTTTTTGTTAGATGCAGCACTAGCTCCCCTCCAAAACCTTTGGTACTTCTACCTTGCACAATAACCATCACTGCTGAAATATTTTATTCTTTTCTAAAATGCACATGGTGGCAGTTGTGTCTGAGTGGGAATTATGTTTTATATCAGACCATAAGTCCACAAGTCAAGGTCATCTTCACACGGTTATCTAGGTGCCCCTGCATAGATTCCAAAGTGTTAGATACTGCAGTGGTAGAATGCTGGCAAATTATAGGCAGCTAATAAAAGCTGCATTGATTTGGCTGTTCTAGAGTCCTAGCTAAAAGTTCCCAGCTTGAATGTGGCCTTTGTTTCCAGATGCTGGTCAATGGTGGAGGCAACGTGCTCTCACAGAGGTGCCTGTTTACTAGTGCAGCACATTGGCAGTTGGTGCTGCACTCGTGAATGCATATTTTGAACAGTGGAATCACTTGAGGAGTAAATAATACTGATACAATTGAGTTTTTAATTGGCAAAAAATTGTTAGCTATGCATTCCCAATATACAACATACTTTCCAATCTCTCTCTTCTTATTGCAAAGCTTTTTCGATGGCTTATTATTGCTGATCTTTGTCCTCAGTTCGCTTGCCTTGTCCTTACCCCATTCCACCACATCCCGTTCCCTCTTTATCCTGGATGTGAGTGCAGTGCATCCATAATGAAGCTTTCATCTTCTTTCAGCATCTGGCAATTAGGATAGAGATAGTTATGTAATCTGAAACAACAAATGCTCAGAACACTGTCTAGCAAAATGCAGATTGTGTCATTCTTCCCCTTTTTTCTGGAGATAACATGAACCGAATATTAATGTGCTGATGCATCACCAACTCTGTCTGAGTAATGAAAATAAACATACACACATTATAGAGTGGGAAGCTGTGTCACTGTGTGAATTGCAAAGGAACAAGCAGAAGTTAATTCCATATTGAAAACTATACAGAAACAGTAAACCGCACTTCTTCAGGATCCAGAGTTAACATTCTGTGAGTTTTACTCTTGTATATTTTGTACAAATGGTATATTTGTGCTTACAGCTCAATCATTATAGCAAAAAAAAAATCTCACTATTAAAATGTTATCTCTGTTAGAATGTTAGAACAGTGAGCAAACTCTCCTACTTTAAAACTCTCCTCTCCTACTTTCTAACTGTTCCATCACAACATATGCTGAACATTTGAATTCTTTGAAGGCACCATATGTCTTTAAATTCACCTTAAAGGAGATATATTTTGATGCTTACAAAGACATCACAGCAGGTAGATTTAGTCATATGTATATAGCAGCAGTATTGTTCTGCAGAAACTGATTACAGCATGTTAAAGTAAGGACCCATGCTGCTGAGCATGAGGCTGCTGTTTTTTTATGAATTTAATAGAAAGTTGACATCTGCTACAGCAGACAACAGACTGTAGTGGCAATTGAGAGCTTAAAAACTATGGAGAGAAACCTCACCCTCATGGACTATTACATGTGACCAAAAAGTTGGTGAAATCAAAAACTGACAATTATAACCACGGAAATACATTATGTATAAAATAATAATTGCCTCTGCAAGCCTTTCAAAATAAGGACTAAACACGGTAATGAAAGTCACAATCCATCCATTCATTGTCAGAAAGCTGCTCATTTCTGCTGAGGGTTGTGGTAACTCAGAACCCATCCCACAGGTACAGGACTGCCTGCTGGACGGGCCCCCAGAGCCTTGCAGGACTCGCGCACATGCACATGATCATTAATGGACACTTCACAGCCCTGAGTCAGCATTGCCAGCATGCCTCTGAGAGGTGAAAGGAAACCTAAGCAATAAAAATCAAAATCATCTAATTTTACCAAAAGAACAAATGTTGCAATACAATAAATAACCTGTATCTTATTTGGTAAATAAAGCCACATTACAAAAAAGGTATCGTTTAGGTGTTGATTTTACATCTCCAAAAATAGTGGATAGGAAATTATAGAGGAAAGTTACTAATTATGCATTTCCTATTGTAAATTGTTATTGTCACATAGTGACAGTTTATTTTTCATCCAAGACACTATTCTCTAAACATCATGTTAATTGCTTTCACAAATGGTGAGACAGTAGACTATGATATAGTAATCAAAATCCGACAACAAGACGAAACAAAGCTGGAAAATTAAATAACATATTCTCCTTGATCAAAGGAATTTATTATACAGGAACAGCATTAAGGTTCAGATCTGCAGTGCAGCAATAGAAATTGACATACGTTTCACAGAAGAAAAATGTGTACAAAAAATTAAGCCCAAATGTTCATTATAATTTCCTAGAATAACATAATTAATCCAAACCTCTTAGTTTTAGCATTTTTTCTCCATTAAGAAATCATATTCATTAAACTTTATGCACACTTATGTCATAGTATCTACCAGGTTTGGGTTTAAAAGCAGGGTTTAAAGCATAAAACAATAAACATACTATCATGGTAACTTTACAACCGGTTCTTAGTGGGTCTGTCTATGTATTTAACTCAATAATAGTGTGTGATGATTGTGAAAAGTTGTTGTAAGTTGGTTGTATTTACAATTAGCTATCTTGTGTTACATTCACACTAAATACATACTTTAGTATGACACTTGATGACAATGATTTTACCCAAACATCTCTGTAAATGTTTTAAGGTAATTTTTATTGTGTTCTGCATTATTTAGAAACCATACTGTATGTAAGCATTTTTATTCATTGCACATTGCAATAATTTTGAATCGTCTGCCCAATAATATTACGTTTGTATTGTATACAACAATATACAGTAAGTAATATGAGCACCACCAGAGATGTTGTTTTTAGTTAGTGTAAGTACAAACATTCACATTTTTCAAGCCACACAATTAAATACACAAATCCTTTCTATGGTGTTGTAATTAGGAAAGTGATCCTTCACTGACCACCTAAAATCTCTTTCTGATCTTGATGAAATTGGTTTTCTTTTTATAGAGGCCAGGTTACAACTTCATTTTTATATGATATAATTTTATGTATTTTTTCTCATTGTTTAGAGTTTAAATTTGCTTTCCAAGCCTAGGACACTGTAGCCAACCTCTAACATCTTAAACAACAAAGCTTAAACAGCACTAAAGGATTGTTTTTACTATACATTACATTGTGAGACATACTCTATGTGTCTACACATACAGTATGTAGTGACAGCATCCACCATGCTGTCCTCTCCCTCTCTTTTATACAAGAACATACTGGCTGCTAGGATAAGTAAAAAATAACTAATCTAAATTGAAAGCATTAATTGAAGTCTTCGGTCTAGAGAAAGACTTTCACTAATTTAACCTACTGTACATTCTTGAGCAGCTCAAAAACAATTGGGAGTCTCATTAAATCCACATTCATATGGTATTCACTCAGTTTTATGAAATGCTGATGGATTTTTTCCACTGCAGAACTTATAAATAATTCTTTTTCACAAAAATATGATTTTTGCCATTATTTTCCCCCCTTTAAGAAGATGGAACAGATTTTAATAAATAAAAGCTATAGTTAAAGTGCACTATTCAAAGGGTGATTAAAAGACTAGGATGGCATGCTGATTTCTTAATGAGAAAAAGGTTAGTTTCACAGAGTATAATTAGCACAACCTCTCTGAAACAGTTTTTGACAGCATGTTGGAATCTGCTGATTGCTAACTTGCACATTATTTTCTACACCTAATAAATGAAAGTTTTTGAGTGGTGTGGGTAGGACTCTAGTGGGGGTGACTGAAATCTAGGAGTGAGTGAGAAAATACTGAAGTGGCCATATACAGTAAGTAAACATAATCCAAAATCTGTCTCGACAAACATTCAGTGCCAATTTCTGGTTAAAAAGTTAAGATAATTAAACATCTGTAACTACACTTTGTCTTGAGTTGTAATATAAAAACACTATAAAATACAGTTAGAATAAATTACAGTTTTGGAGAATCCAGCTAATAGCAATTGAATTTCAAACTTAAAATCGTTAGCCCACTTGTGAAGTACTGCAGTAAATCATTACTGTACCAGTTGTGTCTCATCTTGGTATTTTCCTTTTCTGAGTATTGATTCCAGATTCCTTCATATGTAAACTTTCCCCCGGGATGCATTTAGCAAGGTCAGATCAAACACTTTAGTAAGAAATGTCATTCAGGTGAGTACTCTTTTTTTTCTTTTGAATATATTGCCGACCTCTGTTTAATCCCCTTCCAGGCTAGCAAGTACTAAAACTAATTCAAACCTTACAATAGAATGTTCTGCACTTCCACATTATTATTGCACCCCAGCCTTTACCAAGAAAAGGGACTGAAGTCGAATGGATGGTGCTGTTACTGCTACTAATGACAATGTATTACTTTAATTTTCTCAGTTTGCACTGCTGATGTACACTTCAGAATCTATTGTTGCATATCTATTTCTTCATGTTTATTTGCGGTGTTATTGCACACATATATACAGTAAGTAGAATGATATGGGATATGTATAACAATTAAGAATTATGTAACCTTCAGGCTTCATTCGGAACTCCTGTGTCTTTCTTTGCGAAATAGAGACTACTGTATGTCCTACACGTTAAACAACTTGTTTTTTCTAACATGTTGTTATGATGAGGCGGTAAGAAGAAAACAATGTATCTGTTCTAAAAGCTGATGAATCCAAGAGCTAGGACCGAAGGCTAGCTGAAGGCTAGGACTGCTGAGGAATTTCCGAAGCAGGTCAAGGAGGAAAGGATGACAGAGATTGCTGAGGCAGGACAGAAAGCAGCTGCAGATGGAAACGATCTGAAAAAGATCGAGAACACAACTGCAAGGCTAATCTAAGCATGGTGGCTGTGTCACCTTGTGAGATTAATGTCACGGACATCCAAAGGGACTAACCGTGGGGAGCAGGAGAGCGGAAAAGACCCATATGCATAGCGGCGAGACGGGAAAAAGGCCCGGGCTCATTAGTGCAAAGAGTTCAGGAATGCCGTATAGAAACCTATGCCCTCAGGGAGCAGACGTGGGGCGCCCTGGTGCTAGGCGGGTCTCAGGACATCTGAACGTCAATGCTGAGCGAGGACAGAGTGCAAGACCCGGAAATATATAGCCCAAGGGAAAGAGAGGGACCGGAAGGACACAGACCGGAAACCAGGGACAGGACAGAGAAGGAGCGCCCTCTGGCTGCAGAGGGCGTGACAATTAAGGGCTGGAATTTTAGATACGTGCCACTGATCTGGTGCTTAGGGAAAGCAACAGGCTGCAAACAAGCAGAGCATATCCGTAACAGAGGGGGAATCTTCTGAGCAGGATCCAGGCTGAGTGTTCTTCTGAGGCACCGGTTAGTAATCCTGAAAGCACTAGCCCATACTGTATGGAAGGAATTCAATGACTGAGCACCGGATCAGTGGCAGAACGGGATTTACTGTAAAAATCCTGGACCTGATGGAATTAACACCTGTTAATTGGAGGAACGCCTCACGTGAAAATATGCTTGACACTGGGGGCTGTGAGCTGTGGTTCTCCCAGTCATAACAAAATGGTCTATAAAATGCTGTTATCATTAAGTGAACTATGGCGACTTTCACAGAATTCAGCCTTCTCCATTTCTAATATGACCAGAACAGAGCATCACAGTTTGTCTTAAACATGGGTCCAAAGCAGTAGGATCTAAGCCAATGTTTACAAATGGTAAAAATATTTAGTAAGGGATACACATACTGTATGCAGTTGTTTTAGAACTAAAGAAAAAATATATTGTAAATTAGATACCCAAAGACACATAGAATAAATGGGTGAGTTCTTAATAATTAAGATTTCATTCAATCAATTAAAAAATAATGTTTAACTCTTTAACTTAAGGTCTCTCTTACCTACCCAAATACGATTTCTGTAATAAAGTGTTTCTCCGTAAAAATCATACTGAAGCTGTATACGAAGGCAAATAAGGCACCCCATGAAAGATTGGAATCTGATAAATTCAATACATGGTAGAGAATAGTACACATTGTCAATAAACAAATTATTTTTAAAATTATGTTGTTACAAGATAGGAATTTAACAAAAGACCATGAGAGAAGGAATAGAGTGCAAGGTGAATTGTGGATCCAAACGTCAGGATGAATATTTTCGCAAGTATAGATTTACAACTTTGGATCCAAACCTTTGATGCACCTGCCTTTTAAATGCATTTCAATGTAAGATAAAAACTCTCAACAGACTCCAACTGTGCCTGTGAACATCTAACCATCTGGTTGGTCTTTAATTTAAAAGCAAAAGCGAAATATTAAAAACAGTGAAAATTCATCTCAAATCATCATGACTGACAAATAATCCATTAGACCTTCACTGAGTGTTGTGAATTACTTAATGACATTATTTTAAATTTGCTATCTGCATGTGATTCATTTAAAATGACCACAAGCCTGATGTAGTCTTTCCCACCATACTGCTCAACTGCAGTTTTTAAATGACTGACAAATGGATTATGAAATCTTTCATACTTCCTAACCATCTGTTGTGATGGAAGGGGGGATAAGATCATCTGACGGCTATGCGTGCATTTCCATAAAAATCCCATCCAAGAATGAAGGAATCCAAGATTTCTAGCTCAGAACAAAGCCATCGAGATGTGACGTGTATTATTTCTTGTGGAGACTGTAAGAGAGATGTTTTTGCACTGGAACTCTTGCAATGTTTGTATAGTACGTAATAAAAGGAATTATCTCACTTCACTGGAACAAAAAAGGCAAGATCCAACATTCGCATCATTTCACAATTTACACTGCATGAATGAACAACACAGAGATAAAAAAACAAAAAACATGGAAAACTAGATTGTAAAATCACCAGTACTAAACTATTCAAGTTGTGAAGGCAAGGCTGTAGATTTGAAAAGCAGATGCTGAAGTGTCAGCAATCAAGCATTGCTCAATGGGCTCTAACCATACATATTTCATGGCATTTTAAATTGAAACATTCTGAAGGCAGCAAACAAGATTTGCTTAAAATAGTACTATACTACAACAGATTGATTAGGTTATCAGTGTTTGTAGTTTGCTTGTATACAAGGATATGATTTAAGGTATAAGAAGGTTACTGTACTACACTTTGTACTTCTAACATACCTATACATATCTATATAAGTACATCTTCATATAAGAAAGTTTAAACAAAAGAACATCCAGGCCATCTAGCTTAAGAATGGTTAATATGATTTGAGTTTCATGCTGTTTTTTTTTTCAAAATGTTAAGCATCTTGGTTATCACAATGCACAAGAAAGACTTTTTTTTTCAGATTTTCAGATTTTTTTCTGTCCATATTCTAGCATGATGGTGCCAGCAAACTCAAGTAACCCACACTGCCAGCACCACCACCAATTGTTTTGTACAATTTGTCCTTCCTTGTCTTTTTGGTCAGTCATTGAATACAAAGCAGATTTTGTAAATATAAATGTACTGTATACCTATGGATTTTTTCACAATGACGATTCTTAAAATACTTTTTGCTTTGACAATATTATGCCCAGGAAACAACAATACAACTTTTAAATGTCTGCTACAAAGCAATACAGAAATAGAACGTATTAATTAATTTTCTACTGAAGTGGTTAAAGCACAAGGATTCAGCAACTGTATGTTCACTGCACTGGAGTTGAAAAGAAGATCTTGAGCTACTGAGCTACTGTTGATGTAAGATAGCTTTCCATGAAAAGCTGACTAACTAAATCCTGGAATGACTTCCATACAGTCCATGAAAATGGTGCCAAAAATGATATAAAGCTATGACTTACCGTAGTTATGTTGTAACTTTGATTTGTAACATTCTCCCCATATTTCTTGAATTAATATAAGAACACCCCCTAGTGGATGTAAGTGTGTTTTATCAGGTCTGTAGGAGACTGATCCTGAAGCTTCTATTTCTGTTCTATGTTGATATAAAGCACAATAAACAAAAACTACAAACATGGCAATTCTGAAATATTTCTACTTTACATCTTTATTAAGAAGAAAAACAGGTTTAACTTTAAAATAGTCCCAAAAGTTTTTTTTTTAGTTTATGTTTTAAAGTTGAAAGTCTTTTTTGATTCACTGCATGATGTGTAGAGATTTAGTTGTTCAAATTTTGTGAACTTCTTATTTTAGTGTCTTCTCATGAGTGCAGTATGGCAACATAGTCCTGCAAGTGATACTACAATTGCATGCATTATTCTTTATGTTTATTTCTTCAAAAGCCATGACACATGAATTATTATTCAGGATGATTCTAACCCTCACCATAACATGTTATTGCATTTGCTGTGAGGAATGTTAAGTTTTATTAATATTTTTATGATTTATAATGTAACCATGTGTAACCTCTACAAGAGTTTCATGGTCACTGCATAAGACCACATTCAGATAAAGAATGATTTAAATTCTTTCTAGTTTTTACTTCATAGACAATAGACATGTAGTAAAATGCATTTGTCAGTGGGAAAGAAAAAACCTTTTATTTGTTATCAGTTTAATCTGCTAATGTCAAATGTTAATAACCACTCAGCTGAGAGAGGGTGTGAAGGCCAGACACTGTCTCAAAAGTGAAAAGACTGAGCAGGCACCATGTTTAGCAGTGATGACCTGCTAGCTGTGACACTGCACTGTCAAGCATAATTGCAATTATAACAGCACGATAAAATTCAAGAAGAAGAAACAAGTTATACTGTAATGTCACATGTTTATAAATACATGCCAGTATGTTTAAAAACGTGCAAAGTGAATTGATTTGTTGAAGGACAATATTTTGATTTATGTACATTCAGCTTAGTAATAGCAGTTTTATATCCAACTGTATTATATCATTCACAAATTATAAATCATACTCTGACAGGCTAAAACAAACAATATTGTTAATCTCTATCAGATAAAACCATGAGGGGACCTGATTCAAGTACTTAAAATCCACAAAGATATTGACAAAGTAAATTCAGTGGCCTTCTTCAGAATCAACAGCAAATCATGGCCCAGTGGATAGAAGAGGAAACTACGGGGCAGCGTATTCTAGAATTGATGCTCATTTACGTACAGGGTTGATAAACTGCAATAAGATACCCAGCCATGTTGTTGAAGCCATGTTGGGTAAGCTAATAGCAACATGATGGGGCAAACTCACTCATCTCATTTG